ATATATATATATATATACATACATATATATATTACACCATATACCTCTTCCCTACTTAAATTCTCCACAATTTCAAGCATTTCATGTGTTTTAAGGATTTAGAACATCAAATATCTACTGAAAATGTGAGTGGAGGTACAACAGCCAGGTGCTCAGAGGAGGTTACAAACCAAAGCTTTCCGTTTCAAGAACTCCAGTAGCAGAATTTGGGATGCTGCACTTGGCATTTCAGGGGAAGCACACCCAGAACCAACCTCTTCTCTTACTGTGCTACCACAGATCTCTCAGGCAGCAGCAAAACACTATCAAACTGCTGCAGTGGTGCAACCTGAAAGTCACAGGAATAACAGGAATTCAGGATTCTGTTATTAGGAAGAACAAGCAAGCACAGAGGAGCTGCAGTAGATGCAGCTCTACTTGTCTGATGCATGTTAAAAATAAGCCATTAAAAGTAGTGCTGGTTCCTCCCACCTCAAGGTACGAGTTTAAGGCACTATAAAAAGAGGGATGTAATAGTGAAGTACACCCAGAACCATGTGATATCAGATCAGCTATGGCACCTGTGCAGTTTGCATGCAGATATAATAAATATTAACCACTAAAGTGACATAGAACTGTGATCTAGTACTGCAGTGCATTCTGCAATTCCACACACACAAAGCTACCATGGATCTGACCAATTCCCAGCAGCTCACCCCCTCAGGGAGCCTTGATTTAGGACAACTGGCCCAGCAGGCACAGAGGAATCTACATGTGCTTTACAGCCACTGCTTTCTTGTGCTGGATCAGAAACCTTTGAGGAAATCCACACTTTGTCCACAGCAGGGAAAACTCAAGTCCAGAGTCTCTGCTGGGCTGGCTGCCAAGATCACAGGACAGTCTGAGGCTGTACAGAGATTGCACAAAGCCATCAGGCACATTAAGACCCACAGGAAGAGCAGAAAAAATGAAGGTAGTAAGAGGCACTAACTGTAGGCTGTTATTAGGATTAGGGATTAAAACAGATTAAACAGATTAAAATAGTACACAAGGGGTTACTTAACACCCAGAGGATGAGAAGACAGAAGCTGCAAGAGCTGAAAAGATGTCTGTAGATACTTTCAATCCTGCAGCAACCACAGGTACAATCAGGCTCACCTGCAGCTCTCAGTGTGGTTCTGTTCTAGCAACTGAAGTCTCTTCCTGTATAACCAATAGTTCAAGACTTAGATACAGATTTAAAGGAGGCAAAGAGCATCAAGTTGTGCTTTTATCACTTTAAGAAATACTAAGTAAGATTATCTCCATGTTTCAAATGTATATAGTGCTCAGAGAATGAGACTTTCAAATAATCAGCTTACTGGGAAAATCAGCTTCTCTATGAAAGACCTTATAGATAACAATGACTTTAGGTTTTCTCAGCAGTCAAAAAATTTTGTGTCATCTCTAAATTTTGCCCCTGGCCTTTGTGGATTACAAAAGCAGCCCTACTTTCTCCATGCCCAGCAGAACTTTGTTTGAGAAAAATGCCAAAGTTTGATATTCTTCTACAAAATCTTCTGCAATCTGATCCTCTAAAGGGGGGGAGAGTTTAAGATCCCAGCCTTTCTAATGCAGTTATTGTGTTTCCCAGGTCTGCCAACCTTCCCTTTGGACCCTGGGCTTATTCCAAAGGGCCACAAACACTTCTCAGCAGCGGCTGAAACTGTGAACACTAGGGAGAGCAGAACCCTCCAAAACCAGGGCCGTGTGTAGCTCGCTTCAGATCAGGTGTGTGTGTGTGTTAAATGATTCTGAGTCTCTTCCTGCACCATTTCCCAGTGATCTGTGCTTTATGCCTTGCTATTTTCCCACGTATTCCCAGGAGATTGAGCCTCCTTCAGGTGTTGCTGTGTTTGAGCAAAACAAGGCAATGAAAAAGATAAAAATCTAAGACAGCTGGCTTTTCATGGAAAAACAGAAAGAACAGCTCATTCGGGCATGAAGAACTGCCAAGTACCAAAACCAAGGTTGTTTTACCTACAACGATGAAAAAAACCCACCAACATGACAAATAGTAGAGGGGACAGCAAGAAGTGAAGGGAGCTGCACTCTGAGCTACAGCTGAGGATCTTGATTCAGATTTTGGGCAGACCAAAGGCATTCAGGTCCTAAACTGCCACTGTGTCCATAAACTCAGGAGTGTCCATGAACCTCAGGGCATTTCACAAATGGACTCAAGTTTCACTCACAAGCCCTGACAGGGACAATCCCAAGCTCCTCTGTGTGCAATCCAGAAAGAAACTGCATTTGTGGGCTCCAGCAGTCACAACAAAACCCTACGAAGTCAGGCAACAGGTGATACTCCACTGTCCTCCCAGAGATTCACTCCAGTGGCACAGCCAGCCTGCCACAATACAGCCTCAGCATTCTCAACAACACCAGTTTTACAAGTTACCTTTTAGTTTTGTAGTTTACATTTAAACCTATAAAAGCCTCCTGATGAAATGGTTGTTCAGGAAATAGAAGTCCAAGGTATCCTTTTCTGCTCAACTTTAAAGCCTTAGTCAATCACCCAGGAGAGCTGTGAACACCAAGAAATCAATCCCTGTTGCTGCAGCACCCTCCTTTCCTTTAACTGGCTTATTTTGAAAAGATTTCAGAGTGCTTCCATCATATTTCAGGCCCCAAAGTTATCTTGAGTCCAGGATCTATACAGAAACTGGTTATGCTGCATGGAAAAGACAAACTGCATTACTTTACCAATGCAATATTTTAATTTTATTGTTCTCATAAAGCAACAAACTCAATCTTAGGACAGCCAAGAGACATAGGTCAGATATTCATAGAGGTATTTTTTTTTGTTTGTTTTATTTTTAAATTTGGCAACAGGAACTAACTGTTGATTTAAAATCCAGGTCATTTAAAATCAAAAGTTCAAAGTGCAGTCAGATACTGCACCTGCAGTACACTGGATTTGCTGTTTCCAAGTCTCTGCTTAAAGAAAACACTTCCCTGTTGTTCCATAACAAAGAGTTAAATAGGACAGGTTCAGGAATGGGTTTGGTGGTGGGTATCACCAAAACTTCACATCAAAAGCTTGTGTCTCTCCAGGTGAGCTGGGCATAGACACAGGCTCTGAATTCCCTGTGTTCTCCTCACTAGCAAACTCCTACTGCAAAAATCCGGGTGATTGTGCAGGGGAGGCTGTTGCAGAAAGACAGAGAAGAAAAGTTTTATTCCCCAGATCCTCTGGAGTCCTTAGGAATAAAACTCCCCTTTACTTTAGTGGGACATCAGGCAGCCAGGGGCTGCTGCTGCATTTAGTATTTCTCTGGGCTCTCACCCTCTCTTAGTGTAACAGCTACTTCCAGAACAGAGAACCATTTTTTATTCTTACATTTTTCCTTCTATTCTGTGACCTAATTGCCAGTGATTATTTTTATTTTAAACAGGGTTTACTGCTACTGTACTTGGCATAGATAAATTCTCCTGTTTAATGGGCTTGATTCACTGGCATGGATCCCAGTACCATGTGAGTTTATTGCATGGATCATCACATCTATTAATGTCATCAGATCCTGGTCCATATTTCACATTTCCCATTGACACACTGAAACAAGCAGGAGAATTACAGAAAATGCAGCTCCCACAGTTGCCTGCTGCTTCCATGAACATGCTTGGAAAGATGATGATGGCTATTCAAAATCATGCTTCAAAGCATGGAAAGTTCAAACCAACAGTCCAGACCTCACATATCTGATGCAGAGCATCTCTCCTCTGTGTCAGGATGAAGTTTGTTGCACTCCTCTTTGGCAAAGCCAGAGCAACAGAAAAAGCCAGCTTGTCAAAACTTCAGCTTGAGAACAAGATGTTCCTGTGTCCTCTGTTGGCAAATGCACAGCCTAGCAAGAGTAGCCCTTTAGCCACACACCTCCTTCCAGCCAAACATTTACACCTTTTCTCTGACTAAAATGAAGGTTTCTGGCAAAGACCTCCCCAGTATTACCTGGAAATGGCCTGAAATTGAAATACTAAGTATGGATGGAGCCAGCTTGTGACTAAACACATTGATGGAACGAATCACTGTAAGAATCTAACATAAACCCAACTCTGTGCTCTGCACACAAGCTGTGTGCTGCCAGGCATGCTTTGATGGATGCTTCCAGGGGGAAAAGGATGGCTGAGGATCACCCTGAAGTTTAGTGCTGCTACAGCAGATCCCTCTGATTCTTCTCTCATGCTGTTTTGAGAAAGAAAACTTGAAAGTTGGCTCTGGGCTTTGTGCTGACCTGATAACCTTGCACTTGACAATTAGAGAGGTACTGAGGTCTTCCACTGCCAGACCATTGATGTTTCAAGGTACATCCGTACTGCTTTGCTTCTGATTTCTTGACATTGAGATGTCAGACACGGACAACTTTTCATCTTCAACTACAGGACACCCACATTTGCTGCATCCTTAAACCAAGATACACAAGGATCTATATTTATGTGGCACCTTTAAGCCAATAAATTCAAAGTTATTCCAAAAGTAACAGAATAGCCTTATCCAAGTAACTTACTCGAACTTTACTTTTAATCACCCTTTAAAACCACTTTATTAGAATAGTCTTCTCCTCCATCCTGGAGCTATTTAAGGATTATGCTGCCCAGGAGCTGCAGATGGATGCTCAACATAAAACCCTGCAAGACAACAGAGAAGCCCGCAAGAATCCCAGACTGGACACGGTCTGCACTGCACGCCTGCCTTCCCCATTTATGCCAGGAACTGCCAAGTGCTGTGCAGTCCTTTGGGAACACGAGTCACTACGGGATGTGTGGGACCGAGAGCTCTCTAGGAACCCAGGACAAAAGCTCACCCCGACCTCGGCGGGGCCGGGACCCCAGCGCGGGGAGACCCTGCAACCCCCCAGGCTGGAGGAGGGTAGAAGGGGCAGAAGGAGCAAAACTTTGAGAGAGGCTGGAGAGCCGGAGGAAGAAGAGGAGGGTGTTCTGCAAGCCTTGGGGAGGGGCAGCGGAGGCTCCTGCCGAGGGAGTACCTTGTAACTGAGCCGAGAGCGACTCCTGATGCTGCTGGTACTTGAGCGCCGTGGCCTCAGCCTTCCTCAGCTGGCCCTGCAGCTCGTAGTAGAGCATCGCCCCGTACAGGAACCCGAACACCACGGTCAGCAGCAGCAGCGTCTGGAAAATCCGCTTCTGTTTCCGGGAGCACATCCCGTTGCCCATGTCCCCGGCGGGGTCCCGAGGGCCCCCGCCCGTCACGGCTCAGCAGCGGGCGGGAGGCGGCGGCATCGGAGGCCCCGGGTGGAGCAGGCGGAGCAGGAGGAGGAGGAGGAGGAGGAGGAAGGAAAGAGGGACGGCAGAGGCGGG